TTAGTTCCATATTTTTTTTCTGTAAGGATAAAACATACAAATTATATGTTATATCTTACTAAAATGTTTAATTTAGAATGCAAATAAGAAAAAAAATCTGATAGAAAACTTAAAATATTAAATAATATTTAAATGATAAATTTTAAAAGAAACTTCCATACGTGTTTTTTTTAAATAAATAATTTTAATTTAAAAGTTGTTTCAATTTGTTTAGAAGTAGGAGTTTAATGAAAAGTTTTAAAACTCCATATTTGGTTGGATAATTATTATTTTTTCAAAATAAATATTAAAACGCCATATTGAGAACTTCCATATGCGGGTTTTCTTAAATAAATAATTTCAATAATTTTAAATTAAATGTTTTTAAATTTGTTTAGAAGTAGGAGTGTAATGGGAAGTTTTAAAACTCCCAATTTAGTTGGATAATTATATTGTTTCCAAAACTAAAGATTAAAATTCTATATTTAGTTGGATGTTTCTTAAAATTTAATACATTATTATTATTATTATTATGATTATTATTATTGTTATGATTATTATTATTATAACTATTATTATTATTATTACTATTATTATTATTATTATTATTTCGATTTTTTTATCTGTAAAGATAGAACGTATAGATTATAGGTTATATTTTATTTAAAAATGTTTATTTTAAAATTCAAATAAGAAAAAAAAATCTGATATAAACTTAAAATAATAAATAATATTTAAATGATAAGGTTTAAAAGAAACTTTCATACGTGGGTGTTTTAAATAGATAATTTTAATTTTAATTTCTTTAATTTGCTTAGAAGTAGGAGTGTAATGAGAAGTTTTAAAACTCCTTATTTAGTTGGATAATTACTTTTTTTTTCAAAATAAAGATTAAAACACCACATTTAGTTGGATGTTTTTTTTAAAATTTAATATATTATTAATTTTATCATTATCATTATTATTAGTTCGATTTTTTAATCAGGTAGAACATAGATTATAAGTTGTATTTTCTAAAACAAAAATTATTTTTAAATGCAAATAAGAAAAAAAATTGATATATTACTTCAAAGTATTAAATATTATTTAAAATGATGAATTTTAAAAGAAGCTTTCATTCGTGGGTTTATATATTGAGGATATGGAATTTGATGTTAATTTTAAATAATAAAATTGAATTAATTTTTAAATGTAAAAAAACTGCCATTTCAAATTTAAATTTGAAAAATCTGAAAACTGTATAACTGTTGTTATGTTAAATTTTTTAATAATCTTATCCTTTTTTATTATATCAGTTTTTTCTCTTTCAAATAAAAAAAGGCTCGAGTTTTTTTTAACTGATATCTTGAATTTTTTTTCTCATAAAGAATTGCAAGAATGAATGGGGAAATCTCAAATTCAATTATTTATCCAAAAAAAATTTCAAATTGATGAAAAGCTTCTCAATTTCGTTATTGCCTTTCTTTTCGATAGTTATTGTAAGTAAAAATTCATTTTGTATTAATCATTTTCATATTATAATTATTTTAACACAAAAATATTGATTTATTGACAATTTCTAACTTTTACTTATTATAAGATAATATACTAAAATTTATTTGAGAGAATGTTATTCAAAATTATTCAAAATCATACATAGCCTATTCGTATTATACTCTTGTTAGAATACTAAAAAGATATAAAAATTTAATTGTTACATTAAAAAAATATAAATAAGAAATGTCCTATGATCATGATAATGCTAAGCATAAAACTAAATTTTTTTAATCAATTGAAAATCAAATTGTCGGCATGTTATTCAAATTTTTAATTGTTATCTTTGAATTTTTCCAAAAGTCATATATTAGTTATATGATATTCTAAAAAAAAAAAATAATTATATGTGATATTTTAGTACAATATGATGCTTACCGTTGAATGATACTCTCATAAATCTGTATCAATTTCGGATAATAAGTTAAATGGATAAAGATATATAAGAGAGATAATCCTATAACATTTAATTTTTATTACAATAAAAATCATTAAGAAGAGGGGTATAATAGTTGTATAAAAGAATTGTTGCATATATATCATTTATCAAAATTTTAAAAAATATTTTTATTTTATTTTATTCAGAATTAAAAGATAGTCACAAAATGCTGAACAAATCTTGCAAAAATAAAAAAAAACTTAATATCATTAAAAATTAAAAATGTTAAACAACAACAAAAAAAAGGAAAAATATAATCAACAAAAGCGAACAAATTGCAATAATTATTAATCACTATATAAAATGCATACACAAATCTCATTGATAGTGTTAATATTCAAGTAAAAACTAAACTCAAATGCACATAAGCAAATTTTAAAAAGTTAATGAAAAAAAAACAAAGAAAGTACATCTCCTTTAAAATAATAAATCATAAACAACTGCGAGCATCAAACTGTTCTAAATTAACTTTAATTGATTAAAGGGATACAACAACTTTGAAGTAGATAATCAAAGGTAACAAGCGAAAACCTTCACATAATACGGTATGATTTGCAAATAAGAATTTGATAAATAAATTTTGAGAATAAACAAAACAACAGATCTATGTATTATTTCTAATTTTTACCTTGTGAATGTTTGTTATGCGATGAAAAATACTCATTTAATATTGATATATATTGTATGTAACTTCAATAACTCAATATTTGTATATAACCTTGTGTTCTTCTCGCAATCGACGTCCTCACTCGTCTGTAAAACTTATAAACTACTACTTAAAATATCGGTATTAGAATCCAAAACGGTGTCATCTAAAGAGTCCAAATAAAACTAAAAGTGTTATGCAATTTTATTTACAATTAAAGTTAGTAGAATGAGAAATCTTAAATAAGAAAAATATGAATCTATCACTAAAATTTATGAGAGAATTTACCACTAAAATCAAAATAAATAAATAATTTATCAATTAAACTTACATGGCAAATTTATCAATCTTTCACGATTATAGAAGAACTCACAATTTCCAAATTTTTATGTCATGGCAACTGATTTTGATTTCAAGAAACAAAAGGAGTACAGAAGGCTATTACTTATACTTGAAGAGATAAAACCGCTTCAAGTATGGTTATGTATATTTTTTATTTTTTTTGGAAAAACTTGGGAAGTTATACATTTTTAAAATAAAAAAAACCGTCTTTACATTTTTTTTTTCCTTTTATGTTTGTAATTTTTGAATATTTTAATTTTAGATAAACGTGGGAAGTTATACATTTAAAAAAAAAAATTGAACTCAAAACCATTATTATTATTATTATTATTATTATTATATATTATATATTATATATATGCATTTGTTTTGCTATAAATAAGGAGGTTGTGGAAAGATAGTTAAAAATATTTTTCCACAAAAAAAGGAATCATAAACGCTTGAAATTAAAAATTAATTTAAAAATCATTTAAAAATAAAACAGTAAATTATTATTATGTAAACCCTTTTTTTAAAAAAGTTTTTTCTTCGTTTTATGTTTGTAATTTTTATTTTTGTTTTTGGATTTTAAACAAAAAAGGAATCATAAACGTTTGAAATTAAAAATTAATTTAAAAATCATTTAAAAATAAAGCAGTAAATTATTATTATATAATTAATATAATTTTTAATTAATTTAAAAACCTATTTTTTGTGGCGCTGACACATAGGCGCTATCACCTCTCCTATTATATATCTTTACAATTTTTTCCTTTTACTTTTGTAATTTTTATTTTTATTTTTGGATTTTTTAATCTTAGATAAACGTGGGAAGTTATACATTTAAAAAAAATTGAACTCAAAACCTTTTTTCCAGTTTTTTTTCCTTTTATGTTTGTAATTTTTATTTTTATTTTTGGATTTTAATAAATTATTATTATTATTATTATTATTATTTGCATTTGTTTTGCTATAATTAAGGAGGTTGTGGAAAGATAGTTATAAATACTTTTCCATAAAAAAGGAATCATAACGTTTGAAATTAAAAATTAATTTAAAAATCATTTAAAAAAAACAGTAATTTATTATTATGTAATTAATAATAATTTTTAATTATTTTAAAAACCTGTTTTTTGTGGTGCTGACACGTAGGCGCTATCACCTCTCCTATTATATATATATAGATTAAGAAAAATACTAATTGAAAAGGGATCGACTAAAATCGTGTCAAAGTCATATTATATTTTCGATTAATAATTTTATTCTTTAGATTGAATGACATTACCTTTCGTTGTAAAAATAGATTTATTGGAGAAAATTCCAAATTATACACATAACTAGATTTTCTTGAAACTGTAGCATCCGGACTAGTTTGCACGCACCTCGACTAATTTCATAGGGCATTTATATTTCCCAATAATGTAGGAATCGGGTAACTTTATTCACCAAAGCTTGGACAAATGAGCTAAAATCATAATGTTTTTGTGTGGCGCTTGGATTTGGACTTGAGACCTCATAACTTTCAACTCACTATATTGATCAATGAATCCTTCATTTGTTATTCACAAATCTTAACTTTATGTTAATCACACTCACTCTAACAGAGTACCTATGAATGACGTGTCAACTATCAATGAGAAAATGGGAACAAACCACATATAACAAACATTTTTATTTGATAAAAAGTTGAAGGATACATATAACTTGATTGACTAGACTTAAATAAAATATCATTCGTATATTATTTAAATGACAACTGTAACATAAATAGATGAACAATGAGCAACAATCTAATAACTAGGAAGCAATATTTCAAGACACAATGAAAAAATAATGATAGAAGAATATAAAAGTACTACATGACCAGTCGACATCCTAAGGATTCCCATCATTCTCTGCTCCAGCATTGCTATCATTAGCACCAGTTTGATTCAAAACATTCTCTTCTACATGTTCATTGAGTTTAGTCTTCCTTTCATTAAGTTTAGTCTGCTTTGCTTCAAATAGCTTTAGCAAACCTTTAGTTTCTCTAGCATCTAGTTCCTGAATGCTTTTTCCCCAAGCAAGTTGGTTGAATAGGTTTTCCATTTCCTTCTCTTCAACTGTTTGCTCTATTTTCCCAATATATTTTTCCCGAGCATCAACTTTTCGTTGAAGATAGGTTTCTTGTGTGAACAACTTAATTTGTTGTTTGGCCTCATCGCAAGCTAAATACTCATTTATTGTGGCATTAGCCTGGGTTAAACAAGGCCAAGCAAAAGCTTTGGTTTCTCCAGGTGTAAAAGCAACCACACCGACTTTTATATCACATAGAATAGACAGTTCTTCTGCTTTCTTACATAGTGATGCTAATCTTTTCTCTAAAATGACTTTTCTCGCACTCTCATCGAGATTCCTAGTATCCCTACACCTTTTTTTAGTCAAGTGACTCATATTTGGTACAACCAAAATGAAGCAAAGTAGAATATATATATAGAAGTGAGTACCTATATGGGAATATAAGATAAGAGTGTTTGACTGTCTAATAGGATTGCATAAAGTTGACTGAGATAATTTGACCAAATTTAAGAATAGTTTGACTGCACAATATGAGTTTTATGGTATTTATTTAATTATTTTCTTAAGTAGATGTTAAAATCCCAATACTCTAACTTGAAGATTGTGAAATAATTATATTTCCATAATTGAAAAGGATAAAATTGTCCTTGTACTGTTAGCTGATGGGCAATTTTGTCCTCCGTTAATAGTTGCGTTGTTTGTTGCCTCTATTATTTTCCGAAGGTGGCCTTTCCCCCCTTTCAGCCTACGTTGCTTAGATTCGGTGGGGGATAATGGTCAATTTACAATCTATGTGACTATTGCAAATGATATAAGAGGTCATGATAGGTTTATCGAACTTATTGCATAATCACTAATGATGTTAATCTGTATATATCTATCAAGACATAAAAGGGATAAAGGGGTGACCGAGGCCAACACCGACCGCCTACGTATCTCATTCTTGAGAATTCAGGTCAGACGTAGTTAATTACAAGAGGGATAAAGTTCTAAACAAAGCGATTACAAGCAGATAGGATGATTACAATGAAATAACAGAAATACAAACTAATATTTCACACATAGTGTCTCTTGACAGCATCCGAGTTGATCGGTTTCGGTCATTCGGTGCCATCCATCTCCGACAGGACCAAGGCACCTCCAGATAATACTTTGCGAACCATGTAAGGGGATTGCCAATTTAGTACAAATTTCCCTTTATATTCATCTTGGTGAGGGAAAATGAGTTTGAGAACCAACTGACCAATTTCAAACATTCTGGCTCTTACTCTCTTATGGAAAGCACGAATCATCCTCTGTCGATAAAGTTGACCATGACAAACAGAAACCATTCTCTTCTCATCAATCAATATTAGCTGGTAATCCGCTTGCAAACCCATTAAACATCACTCAATTTAGCCTCTTGGATGATTCTCAATGAAGGTATTTCGACCTCGGCAGGTATAACTGCTTCTGTTCCATATACTAACAAGTATGAAGTGGCTCTAATTGACGTTCTGACAGTCGTTCTGTAACCCAACAAGGCATATGGCAGCATATCGTGCCAACCTCTGTGATTGTCGATCATTTTCCTTAGAATCTTCTTTATGTTCTTGTTGGTGGCTTCTACAACTCCATTTATTTGGGGACGAAAGGCGATTGAATTTCGGTGAGTAATCTTGAATTGTTCACATATCTCTCTCATCAAATGACTGTTGAGATTCACTCCATTATCAGTGATGATGGATTGTGGTACTCCAAACCTACTTATCAAATTGCTGCGAACAAAATCAGCTATAACTTTCTTGGTTACCGACTTGGACGAAGTTGCTTCCACCCACTTGGTGAAGTAATCAATAGCAATGAAAATGAATCTGTGTCCGTTGGAGTCGGCTGGCTCTATTGGATCGATGACATCCATGTCCCAATCTACAAACGGCAAAGGTGAACTCATAGCATTGAGTTCGTGAGGCGACACTCGAATCAAATCACCATGCACCTGACATTTATGACATTTCTACACAAACTTGCAACAATCATGTTCCATAGTCATCCAAAAATAGCCGGCTCGCATGATCTTCCTTGCCAAAGTGATCCCATTCATGTGAGTACCGCAAACTCCGGCATGTATTTGTTCTAGAAGCTTTGTAGCTTCACTAGCATCAACACATCTGAGAAGGCCTAGATCTGGAGTCCTCCTATAAAGGATTTCCCCATTTGCAAAGAAATTGAGGGCCATACGGCGTATCGACTTCTTCTGGTTGAACGTTGCATTCTCAGGATAAATCCCGGTCTCTAAATACTTCTTGATGTCAAAATACCAAGCAAACCATCTGGTTTCGCTTCAACATGTGAACAATGGACAGGCTGTTCTTTTACCTCTATATCTAAGGGATCAATATAACTTGTATCTGGATGTTTAATCAATGAGGCAATGGTGGCAAGATCATCGGCCAACTCATTCTGTGTCCTGGGAATGTGTCTGAATTCAATCTTGTGAAATCCCTTACACAACTTCTATATATACTGCACGTACGACGTGATCTTTGGGTTCTTCATTGCCCATTCTCCTTGAACCTGATGAATCAACAAATCTGAATTTCCAAAAATCAGCAGCTCATGAACATTCGTGTCGATGGCCATCTTCAAACAGAGCATACAAGCTTCGTATTCTGCCATGTTATTCGTGCAATCAAATCGGAGTTTAGCTGCCATAGGATAATGTTGACCAAATTCTAATACTAAGATCGCTCCGATACCTTTCGCTTGGTGATTTGCCGTTCCATAAAAAAACACTCTCCAACCAGGGTACGCTTCAGATATATCTTCACCCACAAATGCTACTTCTTCGTCGGGAAAGTATGTTTTGAGTGGTTCATACTCTTCATCAACCGGATTCTCCGCAAGATGATCAGTTAAGGCTTGCGCTTATATCGCCTTCTGAGTCACATACACAATGTCAAATTCACTCAAAAGCATTTGCCATTTAGCCAACTTTCCAGCGGGCATTGTTTTCTGGAAAATATACTTCAAGGGATCCATCGTGGAAATAAGGTATGTGGTATAAGAAGACAAATAATGTCTTAATTTCTGAGCAATCCAAGTCAAAGCACAACATGTTCTCTCTAACAGAATGTAACGTGCCTCATACGGAGTAAATTTCTTGCTCAAGTAATAAATGGTTCGTTCCTTCTTCCCAGTCTCATCATGTTGACCAAGCACACATCCAAATGCGTTATCCGAGACCGACAAATATAGCAACAATGGACTCCCTTCTCGCGAAGGAACCAACATCAGTGGATTGGACAAATAATTCTTGATGGCATCAAAAGCATTTTGACATTCTCCGGTCCACTTGGTCTGGGCATCTTTCTTCAACAACTTGAAGATGGACTCACACACCACAGTGGATTGAGTTATGAACCAGCTGATGTAGTTCAGCCTTCCCAGGAAACTCATTACCTTTTTCTTGGTCTTCAGAGGAGGTAACTATTGAATCGCTTTGATCTTGGAAGGATCAAGCTCAATGCCTCTTCTGCTAACTATGAATCCCAACAACTTTCCAGCCGGCACTCCAAAAGCACACTTGGCGGGATTTAACTTCAAATTGTATCGGCGTAGACGATCAAAGAAGCCCCTTAAGTGAGTCCAGTGATCCGAACTCTCTCGAGAGTTGATTATGACATCATCTACATACACCTTGATCTCCTTGTGAATCATATCTTGAAAAATAGTTGTCATAGCCCTCATATAAGTAGCACCGACATTTTTGAGACCAAACGACATCACCCAATAATGATATATACCCCAAGGCATAATGAAAGCTGTCTTTTCTGCATCTTCTTCATCCATCAGGATCTGGTGGTAACCTGCATAACAATCCACAAATGACTACATCTCATGCTTAGCACAATTATCAATGAGAATGTGGATGTTTGGTAATGGAAAATTATCTTTTGGACTTGCTTTGTTGAGATCTCTGTAATCGACACAAATTCTGATCTTCCCGTCTTTCTTGGCCACTGGAACAATGTTGGCTAACCAAGTTGGATACTGCGTCACTTCCACCACTTGGGACTCGATCTGTTTGGTAATATCCTCTTTGATCTTCAAACTCAACTCAGGCTTAAACTTCCAGGTTTTCTGCTTTACTGGACTAAAATCTGGATTGATCGGCAATTTATGAGACATCATGTTCGTACTTAGACTTGGTATATCCCTGTAAGACCAGGCAAATACATCGATGTATTCCCTGAGCAGACGAACCAGGTCCCTTCTTTGAGTTTCAGTCAGATGGATGTTGATTCTTACCTCTTTAACAAAATCCTCATCCCCTAGATTCACAGTCTCAGTTTCTTCCAAATTCAGGTTGTGTTGATTCTCAAATTGTTGAAACTCTTCAGCAACATGTTCAAGTACCTCATTTTCATCTTCATACACCTCGCATTCATCATCACCTGCCTCATTTTGTTCGTTTGGCTCATGACATGACATGACATTGACAGGTTTTAAATTATTATTACTGAAAGCATAAACAAACGAAGTTAGGAAAGTACATCGTAAACAGATAAGTAAATAAATTTTTAATAAAAGAGGCTTTCATTTAAATTGAAAAACAGGCACAACTTTGGCCATGGCCAAGGGCCATTTTTCCTTTTTAAACATCACAGGGGAATTTAAAAAAGACTTGAACAATAAAACAAAACTGCATAAATGGTGGGTCTCGGGCCTCTTCCAGACTACCACCGATTTTCAAAACAAACATAAATATGCATCCTTTCTACCAAGATGAACGGGGGATCAAAAGCGGCTTGGAGGTCTAATTCTGCAATGGCTCGGCATCGCGGATTCCTGAGGTCCCAACTTCATCCTCTATGACTGCGTCAACTTCTTCGAACATACCCCAGATTCCTTCCCCGAGACCACCATTGTCGATACACTCTCGTGTTGGAAATGACTGGTACAAATGAGGAATTGGCCTGGCCACTGCTTGATCAACACTCTTGTTCTTCATCTCTGCTTCGTCATCTATTGGGACATATCCCAAACCAAACTTTGCTTCTCTGACGGGAACTTGAATAGGCTCAACAATTTCTTAGAAGTGCTTCCCCAATCTGAAATGTAACGACTCGGAAAAAAATGATAGGTTAAGCAAGAGCCTATGACTTTGTGTTGACTTTATAATGAGGTTCTATGAGGGGTTTATATGTAATTTCGATTTAATTGTGTAACTCCGACAATTTAAAATGAATAAGAAGAAGCTTGAAATTGGAAGTAGTCACTTTTGGAAAAATTCAGAATCTGGAAATTTGGTTAAGTGTGGGAAATCAGTGAGTTTTTGGCCAACTTTGAGCAGTCATAACTCCTAGATCAGGATGATCCAGGAGTAGTTCTAG